CACCGATACCCCTCTATACCACCAACCCCTCGCTATACCGCGTCCTACCCCGCTATACCGCGCACCCCCTGCTGTGCCGCGCCAATACCCCTCTATACCATGAACCCCTCGCTATACCGCACCCCTACCCTGCACACCCCTCACTATACCACACCCATGCCATGAACCCCTCGCTGCACCGCACCCCCTATCCCACCTTGGGCACCCCTTCGCCCTACCCCACTATACTGCACCCTACCCAAATATACTGCACCCTAACCATCATACTGCACACCCCTACCCCGCTATACTGCACCCTACCCCTCTATACCACACCCTAACCATCATAGCACACACCCCTACCCCACTATGCTGCACCCTACCCCTCTATACCGCACCCTATCCCTCTATACCGCACCCTAACCATCATACTGCACACCCCTACCCCACTATACTGCACCCTATCCCTCTATACCGCACCCTAACCATCATACTGCACACCCCTACCCCACTATACTGCCCCCTGCCCCACTATTCTGCACCCTATCCCACTGTACCGCACCCCTACCTTGCTCTAACACACCCCTACCCTGCTATACTGCACCCTACCCCGCTACACCACACACCTCCACTATACTGCACCCCTACCCCACTCTAGCACACGCCTTACCCCGCTATACCATGCCCATACCCTGCTATACCATGCACTCGCACTATAGCACACCCCTACCCCACCACACCGCACCCCTGCCCTGCTATATTGCACACCCTACCCCCTTATACTGCACCCCTACCCCACTCTACCGCACACCCTACTCCACTTGGCAGCACCCTCACCCCGCGCTACACCGCACACCCTATTCCACTACACCACACATCCTACCCCACTATACCGCACCCCACCCCACTATACTGCGTACTCCTGCTATACCGTGCCCCTGCCCCGCTATATTGCACGCCCTACCCCACTATACCACACATTCCCGCTATACTGCACCCCTACTCCAGTGTACCACGCACCCCACCCCGCTATACTGCGTACCCCTGCTATACCGCACCCCCACCCTACCCCAGTATACCACACATTCCCGCTATACTGCACCCCTACTCCAGTGTGCCACGCACCCCACCCCGCTATACTGCGTACCCCCGCTGTCCCGCACCCCTGCCCCGCTATACTGCACCCCTACCCCACTATACCACCCACCCTACCCCACTCTGCTGCATCCCTACCCCACTATACTGCACCCCCACCCCGCTATACCGCGCTCTCCTGCTATACCACGACCCTGCCCCTCTATTTTTGCCCGCCGGCCCCCCCATACCA